TTTCATTTTATAGGTAACTTATTGTTTTCATTCTTTTTAAAAAAAAATCAAAATTACATCATTTTAATAAATATAATTTATTAAAAACAATTAAAATAAATTTTTTAGAAAATATTTTTTAATTTTTATTAAAAAATAATTTATACACTATCTAGTTTAATACACATTTTAATATTTATTTAGTTTAGTAATTAAAATATAATATAAATACCATTGAATTAATCAAATTTTAAATTTCTATACACTATATGTATAATTATATCTTTAAATTTATTTATTTTTAATTTTAAATCAAAAAATAATAATTTTTTAATAAATATATTACACATTATTTTAAATCAAAGGATATATTAATTAATCTTTTTTATTAGAAGAACCACGGTATTCTCTTTATGTTTTGGTGTCTAACTCGAAAACACCAAGAGTTAATGTTTGTCCAACATCAATGAATAAGACTTTACAAAGACTAAACTAGATTAATAATTCTTCAAACTAAATTTTAAGACCAAATTATTTGAATTTTTTATTTTACAATTTTGCTTACATTAGGCTATAAAGAAACTATTAGATAGAGCAATAATTCTCAATATTAAAAAATTTATTTTTATCTAATAATTAAAATTATATAATTCAAAATTGTCTAAACTGCATAATATTTTTTCAAAATTATTTTAATAATTAGTTATATCTCTATACACAAAACCTATACTATAATTAATAATTACTATAAATTTATTTTAAAATTTAATCTTACAAATTAATCTCAACTATTCATTATTCTAAACCCAAATATAATATTCTTTGCACCATAGAGATATACACAGAATCACAGCTTTAGACAGAAGTAGTAGGACAACTACTAAACAGATGGTTGACCGTTGACCTCCCGCGTGATCTCACAACCCTAATTCCCTCCCCCTCTCCCCGTCCCCTTATTTTTCTCCGTTCCGTTTCTGCCACCACGATCTTCCCAATTCCGCTTCGGCAAATCTCGTAATTAAAGCCCAAACTCCCGTCTCAAACCGTCATTCCATCTTCATCCTTAAAATAATACAAAGCACAGCTAATGCCGGCATAATAATACTGTCTAAACCCATCCCCACTCTCAGAAAACGCTCGTGAAACTCCATTTCTTGGAGCGTGAGGACACGGCGCGTGAAAAATTAGAATGAAGAATGTAAAGAAGTGGGGGCTGCTATGTATATAATTCATGTCCGTATTACCATAGGAGTCTTTCCTCTCTTTTTTTTTCTAGCTTTTGCTTTCTCTTCCCTCCTAATTTCTCTATCCTCATTTCTTTCTCAGACCTAATTCACCACCACCCCTTCTCTCCTCATCTCATCTCCATACATATAATCCTCAGATCTTAGTAGAAGAAGTAGAAAGGATATTTTTTCCTTTTTGTTTTCTTGGGTTTTTTTTTTTCTTTTAATCTTGGGGAAGATTGAGAAGCAGGGAGAAGAGAAGATATAACAAAGGAGGTTTTTGGGTTTTTAGAAAGATGACTCCAGCTAATTTGTCTGGGCAATTTGGTGATACCACATACACTAAAGTGTTTGTTGGGGGATTGGCATGGGAGACCCAGAAGGAGACTATGAAGAAGTACTTTGAACAGTTTGGTGAGATCTTGGAGGCTGTTGTCATCACTGATAAGGCAACTGGAAGATCTAAAGGCTATGGATTTGTATGTTTATTAATGTTTTTCCTTTTTCTTACTTTGCCTCCTTTTCCTTCTTTTTTTTTCTTGTTTTTTCTTTGATCATAACTAGATCTTGAAGGAAATGAGAGATCTAGTGTAGCTAGTGATGTTCCCATAACACTTGAGGCACTAGATGATCACTTTAATCCATATATGATCATTTCATATGATGCACTTTTATATTTTTTACTCTGAAAGTTGATAATGTGCAAATTGTTTGTGTTTTAGGTAACTTTTCGTGAGCCGGATGCCGCCATGAGAGCTTGTGTTGATGCTGCTCCGGTGATAGATGGAAGGAGGGCTAATTGCAATCTTGCTTCATTGGGGGTTCAAAGATCCAAACCCTCAACTCCAAAACATGGTATTGTATTATTTCTTCTTTTTTTCTTTTTTTGTCCTTTTTCTCATATGATATGTATTTTAACTCAATTTAGGTTTTGAGTAATGACAATATTAATTTGTCAGATCTAGGAATAGATTAGCTTCTCTCATTCTAGCTACTTTTCATGTCACTAATGTTCCCTCTCTTAAAATTATCTTAATTAAGAGTTCAACATTATCCCAAAAATATTCTTTTTCTCAAAAAAAAAAAATCATAGTAAAAAATAATGCAAACCATGAATATTCTCCCATATCGGGAAATATATATCTATCTTTTCTGTTACTTGATCATGAGAGGAATCAGTTAAAATGCATGCCAACAACTTAGTATATATTCATCCACTTCCAACCATGTTATTTATTATTTTCATCAGAATTTAATTTATATTTTTCTATATATGTTGATGAATGCTTTTTAATTGTTATTCAATTGGGTAGTTATTTTTGGTTATATAAATTAAAAATGTGGCAGGAGGAGGAAGGAACTTTAGGGCAATGAACTCTTTTCAGACAGGGTTTGGAGGGGGAGTGGGAACAGCTTTTCCTTCAGCTGCAACCTTCCCTCATTATGCCATCCAACAAGGGATTCCATATAATGTTTATGGGTATGCTCTTTTTCTTTTTCATTTTTTCTTTTTTTTTTTCTTTTCTTTTTTTTTTTTAACTCTCTCTTTCTCTCTCTAAGCCTGCATGCACGTGCATTGCCAACTCATGCATCCTCATACTAGGGCTGTCCCAGCACGCTCATTCATCATCACCATTCTTTCTATTAACATATTCATCCCTCTTTTTTACTATCTATTAATTACCACTATCATGAACATGTCTTTCATGTTCATGTAATCATGTATTGATGGATGCATATGCATTTTCTTACTGTAGATCCATGCCCAGTAAAGAATATAGATAAAAACATACATTATAAATAGTATGCATGCATGCATGTATGAATGTTAAATAAGTTTTGTGTTTAATTAGTGTTTTTGGAATTTTGATCTAATTAAGTCTTTTTCTTTTTGGACGATGATTTAGGTACTCTTCATACTCTCCGGATTACACATACCCAACGGTTTGTACAAATTTCTCCTTTTCTTTTGCTTTATGCACACTACATCTTTGGATTCGTTTTCAAGCATGATCCTTTTTATCAGACAATGACTTTTTACCTTCCCTTTACAGTTATTTATTCTATCTTTTTCTATAAAAGATTTCGCAAATCATGTTTCAAAAGTAATCTTATGTGATAAAATGAAGCAGAGGTTTCTTTCATTCTTGAGCGTTTATTCCAAGAGAACAGCATTAATAATATTGTCTTTGCTGTGTAAATATGTATATAATGTGGACCGTCAAATCAACTAACATTCTTGCGCTATACAACAAAAAACTAAGTCTTTTTTTAATCAAGTTTCTATCTTAAAGGTTGAAGCTTGAGCATCAAGCTCAAGACAATTCCCTATGAACTACTACTATAGCTGCTAGTGCCTAGAGCTTTTGACTGTCGACTTGAAGTTTAGACTTACCTAAGTCTGTAGGGTTTAAAACTTGAAATTTCAATTTATTTTTTTTGTAAACCAAAGGGTTTTTTTTTTTTTTTTTTAAATGAGAATTTAAACCTTTTTTTTTTTTTTTTTTTAAATGAGAATTTAAACCAAAGTTACCAACTAATTATAGTTGGTTATTAAAAAAATTAATTATATAAATACTCTAGTTATAGTGGCCTACGTTTTTTAATTAATGAATAATTTGCGTGCATCTAGTTTTTTTAGTGTGCAGTCCAAGTCATAAAAATATTAAAAAATTATCTTTGATTAATGAATCAATGCAATCCAGATTCCAAACTAAAAAACATTTCTTTTTGTATAAAACTTAAACAAAATAAAAAATCAATTTGATGTGTCCTGCCTAGTTGAACCAGTCTCTGCAGGTACGGATTGGTCCAGCCCGCCTCTGCGATCTGCGTATGGCTGTGGTCCAGCCATTAAAAATTGGTAACTTTGATAGATTCTTCTGAATTTCGTCCTTATAATTGTACAGAGCTACTACAGTGTGTATGGAGGGGCTGCTGCTCAGTATCCGTTGTACGGTGCCGGACCAGGCGGACTGATGACTGGTGCAGCCACTGCATTCTACCCGTACCTCCAGTTCGGAGAAGGGAGTGGGGGAGCCACCGCCGGTTTTACTTCAGGGCAGGGATATGGCGCCGTCCAGTACCCCCACCACTTGTTTCATCAGTACTCTGCCATTAACTCCTCTGGAAGTTACCCACAGCACTATGGCGCACCAATGTCTCTTGCACCAACACCGTCCTTGCAATCAGGTTTGTATAACATCAAACATTTTTGTCCTTCAATTAATAGATTCAAATTTTCTTTTCGGTCTTCACTCGAGTCACCAAACATTTATCTGGTTCAATTAAGTCTCATGTCATTTGAAACTTCTCAATTTGAGTCCCAAAACATTTTTCCAGTTCAATTGAGTCCTATGTACAAACTAAAACGGTGCTATCGATGGAAATAATACCATAAAGCGTTGATTTTGTTGGAAATAAGCTTTGTTTTCCCCCTGTAATTTGTTGACCATTGTTCAGTTTCTCGAATAAGTCAAGATAATCGCTTGTGAATCCATTAATCATGGTCTAGATGACTTTTTAAACTCTAGACAAGAAATTAATATATTAATTTTATTCATAGCTAATTCAAGGTATTACTTGACTGTAAAATTGGAAGAAAAACAATGGGGATATGTGATTGTTCTTTTTCTTTGAATCATTTTGTATTGTTACCTATTCGCTTCGAAGTAGGTACTAATATCTTTGACAGTGTGTTTTGCTGTGCCACAGGCGTGACAATGGCTCTTCATGCTCCCCCAATTCCTAATCGTTAAGAGAGACTCAAATCCAAAGCTAGCTACTTCTGCATTACTTCAGCTGCTGCTCCTCCTAAAGTCTCAACAAAAACCTTTGGCCTAACCATGGTTCTCTTTCTCTCTTCACATCTCTTTTCTAACTCAAAAAGAGCCCACTTGAATGGCATGTGGGCCTTTTGTAGCCCTCCATAGGGGCTGCAAAGTCACCTCCAAAATTGGAGAACTTCTCATGCATTTTTCCTCTCTTGCATCTTTCTCTAAAAAGGGGTTAATTCCTTGAAGAGAACCAAAGCATTTGTAATTCCCAACTTCGGCTAGTGGATAAGCTAAGTTGGGAAAAGTTTTTGTCAATTACTGGCCTTGAAAAAAGGTTAAGTGAAAAAAAAGAAGAAAAAAAGCCTTTTTGGTAACTTTTAGCCTAGGAAAGGCTAATAAAACTGAAAATGGTTTGCCAAAAAATGTAAATTTTCAACAACAAAAAAGGCAAGCAAAATGGCTAAGCTAATCCCTCCAAACTTTTGGCTAATCACTTCTCTACATACTGAGGCAGTTTTTAGCAAAAAATCATGGGCATTGGGTTTGTCCCAAAAGGTTTTTTTTGTGCATTGACATGTAGTCTTAGGATTTTAGAGCTAGGACCATGTAGTCATGTTACTATAAATTTTTTTTCAAAACATTATCACTTCATTTCTCTCATAATGTGTTTTAATCAACCAAATCTTCCCTTAGGGAAAGGGAAGGAAAATCTTTTACCAACACTTCTTTTGTTTCTTGTAAAAAATGGTTTTAGGGCTAAAACTTTTGGAGTATTAGCCCTTTAATTGTCACTAATACCTTAGGAGGGATAGTGTTTTTCGCTTTTGCATTTAGTTTCCTTTTTCTTAACATTTCATCATCAAAGAACTCCATTAATGGATGTGGAGCTCTCAAAGCATTTTGCATGTAACCCAAGGTATATTTTGGTTCCTTTGGGTTCTTCTCCTCTAACCCACCAACCATGGTTAGGACTTAGGTAATATCCTCCCTATCATTCCCTCTCATGATCGATCTTCTGTCTTCTTTCGCTCTCCCTGCTTTTCTCTTCTCCTCCTTTCCTCGAACTTTTACTTGGAGATGGACATTGATACTCCTTTATATGTATAAGTCTATGGTTTGGATTGTAAGTAGGAGTTCCACTCAGACCAAGATATATATTCATTCTCCATCCACAGCCAGTTTGAGAGAATGGATATGCTACTTACTACTATGCCTTTAATTTCAGACTATTGTGATTACTTCTTCTAATGCTTTGTCCGATAAGGTTACCAGATCTTCTAAATTTCAAAATTTTGTCGTGCAATATATATATTGACTAAAAAAAACTTTCAGTATGAAATTTGCTGTCTTGAGTTTGGTTGTTAGCATATGCTAATTCTCGAATTCAATTTTGCAGCATCAAGTTTCCCATAAAAGCAGTAGTTATGTTATTGAATCCCTCCAAATTATGCAATAATGACTTCAAATTGGGCATGATGATTTTATATATGTTGAAGAGATATCTGGCCTAATAGAGAGACATATTCCCATCACATACTTTCGACACCATGGTGAAACCAATAAACTAGTCTACATGGATGGTCCATGGATATACTCATCATAAACACATCATAGGTTTATGTAACTAAAATTCCACTGGTTGTGTTATTTATTATGCCATTGACCTTATACATTTTGACACTATATTCAAACCAAAAAATTAGTTTAGTAGTTTTATGAATCTTAACATGTATATTTAAATTACCTTTTCTTTTCATATTTTGTCAATATGAGACCTTTATTCTTCACACTCATAAGTAAACATATTTCAACAAATAATTATACTAACTAATCCGATTTGTAGCGGGCAAAAGCATAACGCAGGTTCTAATAGACATGCATAAGTATCTAGCCTTTTTTATCAAATCATATCTCTGATTCCAACGCTTTTGTATCATAGTTCCTCCAAAGCCTAATTCGAGAGGAATCGTCACAGTGAGGCATGTAAGGAGGAGGCTCACGCATGCTTGTCTCTAGAGTGTTGCCATTCTTCACTATGATAACCACATTCATTCCCAAACTGTAATGGTGATCCAAGTGACAGTGCCATAACCAAACTCCTAAAAAAAATCATTAGGTTTCATATGAGTTTCAGAAGTGAACTTAATGTAAATTCTCTTTGCGAATATATAAAAACAGCATACCTGAATTGTTTGCTTTGAATCTGATGGCTACCCATCGGAACTTGGGAACAGAAACAGTGTTGAGATAAGGAGGATCCACCAAATTGAAGTCTTTTGGGTAATATTCAAAATCATAGTCCCCTGTTCCTTGGCCTATGACATAGAAGTTGTACCCATGAAGGTGCATGGGATGATCCTGTGATGAATTCATCACTTTGGTGGATTGAAATACTATCTCCACCTCTTCATCGTACTCCGACACCTTCACCTTGGTAGCCTTTTGAGCCAGCGCTAGACTGCCAGGAGCATCTTCCAATTGAAAATTGAAGAAATAAGCAGACTCGTTTGGAAAATCTGTGGTGTAAAATCCACTCATGTTCCTGCAACAAAAAGCATTAAGCATTTACTTAAAAGGATTTCAGTTTTTCTCTATTTCATTCTGGAAGTACTTAAATGAGTCCTTCCTCTGTTTCCCCCGTTTCCCTCTGTTTTGCCCTGTTTATATATTGGGATAGGAAGAAAATACCTATAGTAGGCTTGGAGTACATCTGTAGCAGGATCAACCCAACTTATGTTGCTTAAGCTTGCAGTGTATTGCATTGTAATATTCCCTGAATTATTATAGGGTGTTTCATTTAGAGCAGTCGTTATGAACCTTCGGGTGCTTATGTTCTTAGGCACGTTAACGGGATAATCTACCGTTGCCAGACTCCTGAACTGCCGCGTAAAGCTGATTGCTTGGCTATAATCAGTGCAAGAAGGAACACTAGCTGGAAATAGAGGGAACTTTCCGCTGTGGCATATGTTTTGTCATACCCGGTGTAGATAACTTTGTCTGTATAGAATTCTCTAGCAGCAGTGTAATAGTGACTTAGAGGTTGGTCTGCCTTGGCCAGGATGTCCATGGTCTGTCCGGCGCTGATCATGATGTAATTGCTGACTACAGGCTTGATGTAAGCGGCATCTATCCCAACAACGGCAAGAGTATGTTCAGCAATGGCGAAGAACATCTCTTCGTCCATGCAGGCATTGATCAAACGAAGAAGATATGTCTTGCCATATTCTACTTGCCAATGATGTGTTGATTCTGCAACAAGAAACACGTAACAACCATCAAATTCAATGTTTATCTCTGTACATCATGCACGAACTACAACCTCCTTGTAATACTAAACTACTAACTATTGATATACCAAAAAATTAGCCAGATATAAATAAATTCGAACTAAAACACTATTTTATGTACAATTTCATACCCTAGAGCAGTTACAAAAATCCCCTGGCGGCCATTGATCAAGAAAGCAATTGAGACTGGTAAGCCTGTTCCTTCCAGTAGCTCTTCCTTTACTTCTCCATTCACATCATACGTAAACCAAGATCCTTCAAGAGTAAAGCAATAAGTTAAAGACTGCACTTCTTAAAGCACAATATTTACGATTTTTGATAGAAAATTAAGCAAATTAATGTGGTATGTACCGAGTGTTATGATCTCTTCACCATAAGGTTAGGTGGTTCCTTCCGTAGGGTGGATCACAATGGCACCATGGACACTGCTCCTCGTCCAGTCACTATGAGCATGCCACCAAAGGGTTCCATCCTCCGAAATAAAAATCACCTCATAAGTAAAGTTTGTGTTGGGCTCAACTTGACATTGAGTCACATAAGCTGGACCGTCAGACCATGGATTTCTGTGTTGCTTCACTCCATGCCTGTAAATGACATTTTTATCTCCCATAGTTTAGAACTATTCTTATAGAATCCGCAACAATTAACCAGACGAATGCTTCATTGAGGATAATTAATTTTCGCTTTTTGGTAAAATAAAGCAAGACTAAGCTATACCTAACAGTCAAGCAAAGAAAGTGGAAACATACCACTGGAGGGTGACACCATAAGGTCCTTGGTTGTGGACATCAATGTATGCAGTATCGCCTTTCCTAACATGAATCACAGATCCTGGAAAGCTCTCATTCACCACAACCATGCTCTTTGTCTTACATAGTCTTGTAAAATTCTTCTTTGATTACTAAACACAAAAACGAGAATAATGAAAAAAAAAAAAAAAAACTTGAATGTTACATATAATAAAACATCCTTACAATACAACAGTTAAGATGATGCTGTTGATTTACAATCCAATAACTGATCATCACAATCCTTGGATTGTCAAATCAATGTTTGGTAATTAGGATTAGAGTTACTCTTGAGAGGAGTTACACACAAATTCTACTTATTTTTTAAAAAAACTTTCATAATATTAAAGTCTTACAATTATAGGCCGTACCGACTAAAATAAAAATAATACACAATTTTTTAATTTTAAGTACTTGTTAATTAAATAATACAATAAGCCCTACTTAGTAAATAGATTCTGGTCCCGCCACTAACAATTTATGTAAGATATATAAATAACTCCTAACTCAAGTTAAAAAATATTTGTAAGTTTCATTTTTAAATGTAATAATTTGAGGTAAATGAACTTGAAAATTAAAATTCGATCTTCTTAAAAAGAAAAAAAAGGGAAAAAAAAGACACAAAAATAGAGAAGAAATTTAATCTAAGCACTCACAACAAAGTCATAGTAATGAACGTCTGCACCAACCAAGCTGAAGAGGAGCATTCCCTTAAAGAGGCCAATCCCCAGAAGAATGCGGAGAAGAAGAAGAAGAAGACCCATTTTCGGTCAAATAGAAAGAGAAAAATGTTTGCAAACGACAATAAAAAAAAATGTTTAGGTGATACTATAAAAATGGTAGAAATTGGTATGGTGGAAATGGGTAGTCGAGGGAAGAGGTTGAGCTGCGGTTGAGAAGTCGATCAGTTGGGATGGGGAATGCTTTTTGGTTTGTGGGGGTTGAGTTACGGTTAAAGCAAAGTCCAAGTGATACTTGCAACAGTTGAAATGTTGAACTTCCGCTTGGACGGAAACAGCATTGATTTTTATTTTTATTTTTATTTCTTTTTTACAAAGATAATGGTTAGTAAGTTAATTTTATTAATTGTTAATAATTAAGAATTTGATCTTCAAATTTGATGAATATCTCACTTTTTTCAATGAAATGCACAGCCCATCAGTTCATTTGGTGAAGTTCGAAAACAGCATTGATTATTAGAGCATATATAATGAAAATTATTATAAAAAATTATTTTAATATTATATTATTGAAATTAAAATTATTTTATATAAATTTATATTTTTATATATTTAATCATCATCAAATATTATATTTAACAAAATACTTTTTTTAATACATATATAAAACAAAATTTTTTTCAAAAATTATACAATTATTATTTTATTTTAATCACATTTTATATATTTAAATAAAATTTTTAAATTAAAAAAAAATAAAGAGGGTTAACAACCGTTGGATTGGGCAGGCAACCACCTGCGCATGTCAAGAAAGTCCAACATTGCGGTTGGACTTTAGTGAAAAATGGTCCAGATGACATTGTTTTTGTTCTTTTTAGAACAAATATTTTTGGACCAACCTTGGCCCTGTGCAAACAGTCGAGCTTGGCCACTGTTCGAGCTATGTTTTGCTCCAACGTTGCTTAAATTTGTGTTATATTCTATTTTGAAAAAGAACAGTCAAGGGGGCTCCCGTTAGAGATGCTCTTAGCTCTACGAGTATGTATGTCTAAACAAAGCTATCCAGCAACACTATCATCACATATGTAGTATCTACTCATCCGTGCTAGATGACTTTGTAGCTTGGTACTAACTTCATTTCTTTTAAATGTAGAGTTCTAATTTGGATTTGTTAATAAACAAATGCCTTTTATTGGTAAAAGTTTTAGTTTTAGAATTAAAAAAATTAATTTATTTAAATATCCTAAATAGATATGAAAGGTGGCTCCAAAACCATATTTGTCAAACCACCTTGCAGCATATCTATTACATGTCAAAGGACAAACCCAGATCAAAAAATGACAAGAAACATAAGCAACTGTGCCAATTCTAGGACATTCCATTCAGACAATTTAGTATGCAGATCCCCAGTAAACTCAAATCGCTTCCAGACCCTGAAAATGTAAAAGAACATAGCAATCACTCATATCCCCAAAAGACCCAAATTGCAGACAACTAAAGCCCAACCCAACTCAAAGGCTCCAAATCCATCCAGCATCAAAATATTAAAAGCCCAAGGGACTAAAAACATTAAACAAACAGAAAAATGCAACGTGGCTGTTAATCCAGGGGCTTCTTATTGGACCAAAAACAAATTGCTGAGGATGTCACGAAAAACCCATTATGCTACGACTGCGAATTAAGAAAACTTTCAAAAACCAGGAAACAGAGCCAGTCTATTTTTACAACAAATGCCAAAAATGGTTTTCCGTTACACTTCAGACATTATCCTGTGAATGGAATGTATTGTCTTCACTTATTAAGCCTTGTTTGGGGGGTCGACACTAAGTAAACTTATTCTTTAACTAATAATTTATTAAGAATTTTTTTAATGTGTATACTTAGAGTATAAATTAAAAACACTTTTTTTTCATAAATTTATATAAAAATTTGTAAAAACTAATATTAACTTCAAAGACATTGTCACTTAAATAATAAATTAAATGTTAATATTTTTTTCAAGACTCTTACCTATACTATAAGGATAAAGTTAGAAAAACTCATCAATTAAACAACTCATATTACTCTTACTACAACATATAAATTTTGAAAATACTACAATTATAATGTCATTGTAAATATAAAATATGACATTATTATATAATAATTTTTTTATTTAAAATATATTAAAATATTATATGTATTTACTTATATTATATTTATTTGACGTTACGATTGTAGAACATGGAGATCCCTTCTAATCTAAAAAAAACCAATCCCAAAGTCACAGGTAGCAGCAAAAGGGGCGGTTTATAGACCCTCCCTTTTGTTATAGGTGGTATATATATCCATATATAAGCATGTCTATATATGTTCATGAATAAATCAACATATATATATATATGCATAATGAGTCCCTAGATTTTCAGGACGTCTTGGCATGTTGGAACGTTCATCAAGCCATCCGTCGCATAGACCCCAAACTGGAATCCACGTGATTAATGACTTGATGCAAGTCTTGACAAGCTAGAACTTTTTGATTTTTTTTCTTTTTTTTCTTTTTTTGAACAGCAAAAAAAAATATTTATTAATAACCAGAGTACAAGAGGTACCGCAAACCCATAATATCATACTTGACAGGTATCAAATTAAATGTTTTGGACACCTGCCATATAATGTCGACACCCAAAATATGTGTCAACACCAGTCCGTGCTAGAGTTTTGGATGCTGACATATGGTGTTGACACTAAAAGTACATGTCGACACTATACCCATGTCGAGCTTTTGTCCTATTTTGCAGTTTCTTCATAAATCACTGTTCAGATCCACAAAACCTTCCCATTTGTCAAACCCACTGGCACGCAAAGTCATTGAGCATGCATTGATTACAGCTTAAATAACCCAATAGATCAAGAACAACACTACAGTCAGTTAAATACTCAATGAAGCCTTCCTGAACCATTTGTGACTTTCAAATAAACAATAGGATTAATTAGCCAATCAGTTAAACTGAAGGCATACCTGTCATTTGTTGCTTTAATCCATAGGAAGGATCTTAGTTGGATGAGTTCAAATAGTTTCCCTAGGTTTATCTCTTTATCCTAAAATATTTTTTGATTTCGAGACAGCCATATGAACCAAATAATAGTATTCCATATACAGTCCCATCCTTCTCTAGTGTATTTATTCTTGGTCCATGCTCCAAAATTTTGAAAAGTGTTCTAACAATCTGTTCCGAATGATATCTCAGCTCCCCACCATTTAGCACAAGCTTTCCATATCCAACGAGCACACTTGCAATTTAAAAATAGATGCCCAACATTCTGATTGGCTTCTCCGCATATAGCGCACCTTCCTTCCTCCATGTCCTTAGTAATCCCTCTTCTTAACAAATTCATCCTTGTTGGAATTCTGTCTAGCACCAGTTGCCAATTGAATGCTGAAACTTTGCTTGGAAATAGAGGGTTCCATATTCTT